GGTATGGCACTTTATACCCCTTCCATCATACCTGCCCAGTGAATATCTTAACCTGTGTCCTTTGCATTATCCTATACTAAACTGATAAGCTTAATCTGTGAACCACTCTAGCAAATTATTGAACTCAAGTAGAACGCCATGAGATCCCTAACTCACACCTGGTCAATCAATAGTTCTGGAGGCCCAGACGTGCTGTGCTACTGATGTCAGAAGTGGGGGGCAGGCTTGTGAGACTGATTCCTCAACCTATGGGATCTGACTGGTGATATCTCCAGTTATATAGTTGTGAAACTGTGTCTGTGGCAGAACTGAGGGCGGGCTTGAGTGTAGGGAGAAACTCACACTTTTTTTTTTTTTCTTTTTGCAGTTTTTGGCTGGGGCTGGGTTTGAACCTGCCACCTCTGGCATATGGAGCCAGTGCCCTACCCCTTTGAGCTAGAGGCACCACCAAAACTCACACATATTTTGAGATTACAGAAGTCTTTTATGTTGATTATTGTTGTGGCATGAAAGAGAGGAAAAACTGTTAGAGTTATTTTAAAACATATTCCCATTTAACAAATTGTGCACATCTCACAAAGCTATTGCAGGTTCTTTCCTCTGAGTTGAGAGCAATAGATAAAATAATTGAAGGTCCAGAATCTTGAGGCAGACTGCCTAGGGGGAGAGTCCTGCACCTCTCCTTGGTTGCTGTGCAACTTGGTCCAAGGAAAGAGCAAGAGCTGAAATAGTTGGTGGCTCAAATTTGAAACAGGAAGTAAGAGCATTGTGAAAAGACAACCAAGGCAGTGTTTCTTAGAGATTATTATCTTTATCATCAACCCCTACAAACATTACTTGTTTTACCACTACATAGTAAATTCTACTAAGGTACCTTTATCTAGCGATGCCTACTATTGTCTTGGCTTTCCCTAATCACCAAATTTAAAAAACAATTAATTCTGATTACCTTATGATGATTAGGAATACCTTAGACCCTCTGAGTGGGCCTTCCTAACTCTAAACAGAATAAACAACTATGAGAGTGATTTGTGTCATGTTAATATTGATACCAGACAGGGGGCGCCCCAGCCAGCTCAGCCCACTGGGGCTGGAGGACCTGCTGCCTCCGTCTTGGCAGTGTTGGTGCAGCCAGCAGAGGAACCAGCAGGCTGGGGCATAGGCAAGCAGGGGGAGCTTCCCTCCCCCAACAAGGCTTTTGTAGCCAAAGGAACCAGACACAAGCAGAGGAAGACACTGGCGATTCCTCCAGTGCATCCCTGATTGGTCTGTGTTCAAAACCTGCTCCTGATTGGTGTGTTTTCAAGACCCAAAAGCTCATCGAGCAAATGCCCCTATATAAGACCCTAAGCAGAGAGCCCAAGCACAGACCACTGCAGACCTCTGAGAGAGAGAGAGAGCAGAAGAGCAAGAGTGTAACACTTGTATCCTGCTCTGCAAGGAGGTTTGGCTCTTTGTAACAGCTGTGCCATTTGTATAAAACCTATCTTACTGCTGATCCTGCTCACAAGGTTTGGCTCTTTGTGAGAGCTATAACACCTGTTGAATAAAACCTAACTACTGTTGATCCTGTGGTCCGCCAATTCATTCATCGAATCATTGAGACCAAGAGCCTAGAAATTTAGTATCAAAAATTTGGTAGCAATATGATAATGAATAAAATTTTCGAAAACAAAAGATATTAAAATCATGAGTAATATTTTTGAAAAGATATTTACATTGCTGCCTTAATTCACTTGGCTCAAGAGCAGAAAGAGTGTTTTAAAAGAAGGCAGTCATTTTCCAGTTATCCCACTAATGAAACATGTTATCAATGACAATCAAAGCCAATGTACAAGTCCCCTAGTAAACACTCTTGCATTAACATAAACATTTTAAAGATCTACTTTCAAAACTATAATTATTCATACCTGAACAACTTTTTGGGATTGCACATCAACAATAAGGACTCTGTCCAGGGTAGGCTGTGCAACATAAATGAACTTGTCTTTGACATTAACAGCAGATGCCCACACACACCTCTGAACTTCATCTCCCTCAGCTTTGGGACAGACTTCATCCTGTAATGTAGAAAATAATAAATGAGATTTATATCTTAAAGAATAACACGGTGTGAAGGTATCATAGGTGAAATTAATGTTTGATGCTTTACTAGTTTCAGCATCAAATGCTAAATATGTGCACATTTAATCAAAAAACTAGTAGATATAGATGGCAAATTTATGTTCATTAAACGTGTATAGAAATCTATAATAAATGAAATCTCTTTAAAATAATTTTATTGTCCTTATTTACTTCTTTTTCTAGTGAAAGGTAGTTCTTTCATTTTTTATTACTTGTTTTTGACTCAGCAACTTCAGAACATCCCTTTTTTCCTTTAATTATCCTCATCTCCTTTCTCTTTAATAAATGTCACACTGAAGAATATTCAGAGCTTATCAAATACAGCTGTCCCCATGGTACATCCGTGACCTTGTCAAAAGTCATAGAATTCCTTGGAAATGATAGCAAGAATCTTCTAATTTGTGGTGAATCAGAAGCTTAGAGAAACTATAATAAGGTGTTTATTCACAAAGATTATTTACATTTTTATTTTTAATGTCAAAATTGAATTAAACAAAATCTCTCCATCTTCCCAAGGCTTTTATCCTGATTTTTACCTTAGAGTTGCCTTCTGGTTGTTTAGTTTTTGTCTAGTTTTTGTTAGATTGTTATAAATGAGGCCAAAATAATATCCTCTATTTCCTCCTTCCCTTCCTCTTGTCAATACCATAAACGAGTGTTGAATGGATACTTCAGCCTCTGTGATTCAGGCTGACAGATGCATCGTAAGTAACAAAACGTAATTTAGTTCATGATTTGAGTTTTCATGTTTTTCTTGTATTGAATAACATAGTACTTACTGTTAAAAACCAAGGAGAGAATTGCTGAATTATACATAAAATGCATGTGTCATGATAAGCACATGATATAATGATAAACAGTTATTCAAGCATTTCATTTGACATATTATTTAGGAATGATCATTAATAATGAGTGTCTAATTTCATTGATTTGTGTACTGCAAGTATTATCTTCTAAGTGATATTAGAATAATACATAATTTCTCTTCTACTTCATATAACAACAGTTTCTTATCAGAGATCTCTTTCAGCACCTGTACTTAATACATGAAACAAAGTCAACACAGCTTTCATCATACTACTTATTTTTACTTAAAGGTAATAACTGACAGCAGATATGCCAAGTTCAGCATTTAGTAACTCTACTGAACATGCTCCTCTGGCAGCACAGTGATTATAGGTTGGTTTTCTGTTTACATAAAGTTTGGAAAATCATGTCACTCATCAGGGGACTGTGCAGTGGGGTATTCAGTGTGTGGTTTGCTGTTTGTGCTCTCCGAACTTCCAATCTAATTCAGGAAGCCTCTAGAGTGTGCACTAATTTTTGAGAGCCAATCAGTATTAGGAGACTTAGGAACAGAACAATAGTGTTACCTTCTAAATAGGAATTCAGACTTCCAAGACAGAAGAAAAAAACGAAACCAAACCAAACAAAACCTCCCTTAAAACTAAGCACTCAATGTATGGTAGCTCTGGAGTTATGAAATTAACTACATTTCCTAGAACGTACCATAACCACTCCAGGTGACTTCCTGTGGCCTCAACCTGAATAACATTCACGACACCCTTGACGAGGGAACACAAACCTGGAGACAGAAGTCCACCCTCAGCTCACAGTACAGTATGGGACTGTAGGTTCCTGCATGATCCCTACTGAACATTGTTTTCTATGCCAATTACCATGATTTGATTAATTCACTTTGAATGTCAAACTTTTCTTCAGAAGCATACCAAATGCCCTTGGCAAGAGCCTATTTTATGAGAAATAAACACTACATAAAATATGTAGTTCAGAGGCACGAAGAGGTGGGAAAAATGGGACCTCAGGCTATTGAAAGGCTAAGAACACAGGGAAATTGTTCACAAATTCTGGCCTGTTTGTAAAAGCTCCCCAAGAATCCTGCCAAGATAATGAGAAGTGGGAGTGACCTGACACATAACTGTCAGGCAAACAACTGCTGAACCAGGAGCAAATCCACCCCTTTGTTTGCTGCAAAACTATTCAACAGTGAAATAAACTGCTCTGCTGGGAATTATTTTCCATTCGTATGCTCTTCCCATAAGACATCCCTCACTAGACTTCTAATCATTTTTACAAAGCCATTAAAAGTTTCCTGACAGTGACCCTGAGGGGTTTTTTCTTTGTTTTATTCCATTATTTCGAATTATAGTCTATTATATCCCATTTTACAATAGCCCTCTTATTTTTTTTTTTAGATTCCATATATTAATATTTATTTCTATGAATGGGAATTCTGAAAGAATGTTTTTCACATGAATTAAGCAATTTAATGGGGATAAAAAGATAACAGAAAACACCAGAGATGGAAAATAAGATTAAGATAACACATGCTGATGAGGAAATTCATCAGGAATTATATAAAAGTCTATCATTCAATCACTTTTTATTGAAACATGTACTACCATTAGAGCAGAATAAACTAATAGGATATTAGGACTAATAAAGATGAGAGTCAATAAGAAACAGGAAAAAGTAGTTCATAATTTATTCCCTTTGATCATTTCCATATTTAATCCCATATTTCTTGCATACCCTATGAATTATCATTTCCTTATTTTTAAAGCATGCCAATTGTATTCCTATTGATGACACAAACTTTAATTTAGTAACTAAAATAGTGTTAATAGTTCCTGATTTACATCTATAGGCCTAACTCAAACAGAAGAATATATTCACTGGTCTACTTCTAGGACTTTGCCATTTTTACTTAATTATGCAGATCAATGATTAAAAATACTTCATCTTAAAATCTCCAAATTCCCAATCATCCTTCCCTTTCTTAAAATTTCACCTCTCAGCATATCCTTTGAAAGACAAAAAATAAAAATAAAAAAAGAAAAAAAAGAAAACAAACAGTTTGGCCCCTCTGTTTTCCTTGCATCCAGCTCAACAAGTTCCAGTCCTTCCCTCCTCTCATCCTTCTCTCCAATCTTAGATTTGTCCACTGTCTTTGCTTCTAGAAAGACGACCTTAGATTTCACTTACAATAACTTTAAATATGTCCCCCGAGTATTCAAACATATACATCACCCCCTATAGTTAAGAAACAAACTTTACAACAACATCGATGGAATCATCTGCCTTCTCTTCCAACCGTCTATCATAATTCTCCTCTGATTTGGAACAACCTTTCTGGAATGTTACTTTCATTTCCAGTCCTCTCACTCTACATCGATCATATCCCAAAACTGGTTTTCATGATGTTATCTCTTTCAAAAGAGATAGTTTCCAAGTCACCTGTAAGATCAGAATCCCAACAGTTCTTCTTTATTTAGTTCTTGCTGCCAAGCATTTATTGAGCTCTAGCTAAGTAAAGAATATTGTCCAAAGCTAGAGTTGAAAATAAAACATGAATATGACAGAATCCCTGTTCTCACGTTGCTTACAAATTCTGTAGGATTTGGCTGCTTCACACACTCATTCCTCATGAAATGTTCTTTCATTCTCGTAAGGCAAAGGTCAGCAAATAGGGGGTCCCAGGTCAAGTTCAACAACTGCCTAAGTATGGTTCAGGAGCTAAGAATGCTTTCTGCAACTTTCAATGGTCAAAAAAATGTAAAAGAATGCATTTTGTTGACTTATAAACATTAAATGAAAGCCAAATTTATATACACATAGGTGTATCAAAACACAGCTAGACCCATTCATTTAAATAGTGTCTTCGGCTATTTTCATGCTAGGGCAGAAAAAGACCATTAGGAACTGTAAAGTCAGAGACATTTACCATCTGTACGTTTGCAGAAAAAATTGGTGTTGATGTTGTTCTTGTATCCGTCCCTGCCCTAGTTATCATTTTAGTCCTGTTAGCTCCATTCTTTCTGACTGCGTGGCTGCTTTATCTTCTATTTGTTAATTATTGCTGCAGGAAAGGTTCAGACTTTAGTTTTCTGCTCTATTTACTTTACATTAAATTCCTCTGAAAACTCAACTGTTCTGGTCGCCTAATTGCTATTATGGTCCGGCGACACCCAGAGATGAATCTATGGCTTTGCCATTCACCAAGTTGTCTTCCTTCCGTCCCTTTCAGAAAAAAATGATTGGAAGGGCATTTCAGATGGAGATATTATATAGAGCAAGAAAGTGCAATTACACAGAGAAATACACCAAAGAAAGGGTGAAAAGCTTGCACTCACGTACACAGACAGACAGGTGAAGAGAGACAGATTATAAGGACCGCATACACTAGGGAAGTCTCCAAAAAATGAAGCAATGTCATAAAATAATACACTATTGAACAGTAGAGTAATAAGGAATAAAATCGGCAATGAAAACCATTTCTCCACCTATATATAGAACAAAAGGACAGTTGAAAGGTAAAATACCCTGTCGTTTGAGAACAAAAAAGTAAAAATATAAACGTAATTATGTGAGGAATGACAGGCCTAGGAGGATGAGTGGATGAAACACAGAAAAGGCAGGATAAGTAGGATGGTGCCAAGGGCTCAAAGGAGTGGGGCACTGGTCCCATATGCCAGAGGTGGCAGATTCAAACCCAGCCCCAGCCAAGAACTGCAAAAAAAAAAAGGCAGGATAAGTAAGCACCAGTGAACCAGAGAGTCAGGGCTCTTTCTGATATAAAGAAAAGCTGTTATCTGAATCTCTGAGTAATCTGGATTACCAACGCATTGTGTAATATATACAGGTGTGAATGGAACCAAATGGGCATTAGTACTATGAAGAAATTTATATGCCAAAAATAAAATGACCTAAAATGTATACACCCAACTTAAGCACGGAATTACTGCGCTTTCACTGAATTTTTTTTCTTTTTTTTGAAAGAAGTTGAAAGGAAGAGAGCCTGGTGAATGGCACAGACAGATTCATCTTTGCACGTCATCTGACCCTATTAGCAATTAAACGATCAGAACGGCTAAGTTTTCAGAGAAGTTTAATGTAAAGGAAATAGAGCAGAAAA